TAAGTGCATGTAAGCAAGGAAACAGCCCTGACCTCAAACAGCTGCTTTGCATGACTGTTTGTTCATGCAGCCATTTTAGCACCAATCACAAAATGCTATTTGTAAAAAACCTAATATTTTTTGAAAAGTTCTGAAACTTCTGGACAGCTACCTCTTCAGTTGTGAGCTTCATGCTACACTAAGCATGTATGGAGACAATCATGTGGCTGTGGTTACTTCCTTTTAAGAAAGTCTGCGGGTGTTACTAACCAGTGTTACAACCATCCTCATTATTGCCTAAATACACTCACTGAACACTAATAAGAGCATGTGTACACCTGACTATTTATGCAATTATCCAGTCAGCCAGTCAGATGGACTGATTTGAGACTGGACATTTGAAGACTGGAGAAACATCATCTAGTCTTTTTCTAGTCTACTGTAGAGTCTCAGTGAGTCCGTGCCCACTGTAGCCTCCGATTCCTGTCCTTGTGCGACACCACATGCGGACTTTTCCTGTTGTAGCCCAACTGCTTCAAGGTTTGATGTGTTCTGCATTCTGAGACGTTTTTCTTCTCACCATAGTTGTAAAGAGTGGTTAGTTCAGTTAACGTAGCCTGCCGGTGAGCTCAAACCAGTCTGGCCACTCTCTTGTGACTTTTCTCATCATTGTGTGTTGATAGTGTATTGATTTTGTATGAAATATGTGATGCATTTTCAGTGTTGAGAAAAGAAAGTACACCCTCTTTTAAAATGAATGGTTTTATATATATTCAGACATGTTAAAACATCACCTCTTTCTTATCAGGTCTTGATCATCGGCATGTGAGGACACCTTTATAAAAGCAGAAATTCTGGCATTCTAGTGGTCTGGATTACTGGCATAGTTTTTTTTTTGTTGTTGTTGTTGTTAACATCAGCACAAGGAGATTACAGAACCAATTGTTTCTACGTACCATTCTGGGAAGGGTTATTCAAACCCATCATTCTACAGTGAGGAGGATTATTGAGAAATTGAGAACATTCGAGGCTGCTGTTAATCGTCCTAGGAGTCAATGTCCCAGTAAATTCACCACAGTGTCAGACCATTTCATAAGAAGGATGTCAAGCAACCCAAGGGTTACATCTAAGGATCTGCAGGACTCTTTTCTCTATTCAAGCACAGTCTGCAATGTTATGTAAAACATTTAATTGTACATCTAGCAAAACATTTCTGGAACAATGTTGCTTGGGCAGATGACTAAAAATGGAGATGTTTGGTTATAATGCACAGCACAAACTTTGGCCAAACATGGCATATCACCACGAATGTGGTATAGGGATGATGAAGGATATGTCTGTTTTGCAATTACAGCTCCATGGCACCTTAAGGTTATTAGATGAGGATGAACTCCTCATCATACCAAATCAAGGCAAATGTGACGCCATCTGTCCAACAGACGGATGCTTGGCCTAAACTGGTTCGTGCAACAGGACAATTATACAACCACACCAGCAAAATTACACCTGAATGGCTGAATGATAAAATTAAGATAGACTAGCAGATTATAATCCAGTGCCATTATTTATAATTTTGGGCTCAGTTTTCTAACATTGTGAACATATTCATGTTTGTGTGGTTTCAGAGTGTCCATTTGTTTATGTGAATATCCTTTTGATGGGATGCCATGACGAAGGGCTTTATCTTCTTTCCAGTGTCTCTTCAATGCTTCATTTGTGTTCTCATAAATAGGGGCCTCTAAAAAACAAACACACATTTTTAGATATTTATATAATATAATCGTCTTCTTCTTATATGGTCAGTAATGCACAGATGTATGATGATTGAGGACAAATAAGTTGCTCTGCAAATATATGTTGCACACTAGCACTGTAACCACACGCAGTCTACAGCACCCTGTCTAATCTGAATTGGAGACCTCCTCTGAGTCTGACTCATAGCACACACCACCTACACATGTATGTGCTCTGTCAAGGCACAAGTAAAAGCTGACCTGACCTCAAACAGATGTTTTGCTCTGCCGTGCATGACTCTTTCACATGCAACCATGTTAAATGAATGTACGTTCATGATTGTCTACACACTTTTTTGTCTCTCTGTGGGAACCCACAGGTACTATGTACACTCATACAGGGTTTGCCATTTCAGACAAGTTTATCCAAAGAGCACCCTTTTAGAAAGCTTAGCACTTAACTGCTCAAATAATGGGTTGAAAGACTGTCAGGGTCATTGCAGTGCTGTATGACAACATTGGCATCAGTGCGGTTTGTTGATCTTTGTGTACATAGTCTTTACCATGAATAGAATTTTAAGCACCTTTTTTTCTTCTGCATATGACAGTTGTGGTGATCACAGCTGTAATAATCAACACACAGCCCACTGCCACAGCTACCCAGAGCCAACAAGGAGAAACATTTGGAGTTTCAGATGCTGGAAAGAAAGAGAGGAGAATTCAGAATATTCAAATTCAACATGTATTTATCAGATACACAACCATACACAGTACGACGTGTACTGAAAGACTTTTTATGACTGTCTGTGACATAAAATAGAATTTACATCGACCAGAATTTACTTGTATACAATTAGAAAAAGGGAAAGTTTTTTTTTGTTTTGTTTTTTAAGTTTAAAAAATATAATGTAAGGATATACAGATGGGTGGCAGCAACAGTCTGACTATAATAATACCTGACTATATAATATAATAATATATGAATATTATAATACCTTATAATATTTTGGAATAATTCATTTCAATGCCACTTAGAGCAAACAAAGTAGTCATAAAAAGAAATAAATTCTCCTGATAAGTCAGCCATGCTCTAATGTCATTGCTTCATCTAGGCAAACTAATCAAGCAAGAATAATCAAAATGTCAAAATCAGTATAAACTGAAAAATTAGGATGACCTTAAGAAAATTTTGATTTTTATAATATTTTATTTGTAAAAGTATAATAACATTTTAATTATTTTTTTTCAGTGAATATACTGGTTTAAGTTCAGAAACAGTTGGCTTGATGCCAAAGAATCCCTAGAAAGAAGAACACAGGGTGTTTCAGAGTCTACAAACCAGCTCAGTCAAATGGACTGGCCACGGAGCACACTTAAGTTGTCATTTATGTTCCAAATAAATAATTATGTTCCATTTATCTAAACACGGCGAGTTGAGTTGATGACAAAGAGGTCCAATTTGGTCTCATCTGACCACAACACTTTCACCCAGTTGTCCTCTGGTGGTCAGATGAGACCAAAATGGAGCTCTTTGGCATCAACTCAACTCACGTGTTTGGAGGATGAGGAATGCTGCCAATGACCCCAAGAACACCATCCCCACTGTCAAACATGGAGATGGAAACATTATGCTTTGGGGGACAGGACAACTTCACCGCATCAAAGGGACGATGGACGGGGCCATGTACTGTCAAACCTTGGGTGAGAACCTCCTTCCTTCAGCCAGGGCATTGAAAATTAAAAGTAATTACTAAGTCATTACCAAGTACTAAGTCATGTTTTGCAGAGGGGTCAAATACATATTTCCCTCATTAAAATGTAAATCAATTTATAACATTTTTGACATGCATTTTTCTGGATTTTTTTTGGTGTTATTTTGTCTTGCACTGTTCAAATAAACCTACCATTAAAATTATAGACTGATCATTTCTTTGTTAGTGGGCAAACGTACAAAATCAGCAGGGGATCAAGTACTTTTTTCCCCTCACTGTACAGTATCCTCATTTTTCCATCAGGCTAAATAGAAAATGCTTTGAGTTCAGAAAAATGTTAAATGTATCAGGATCCATAGACACTCTGCTGGTTAAATAATGTAATTGCATGCTCTACGATATCCTGACATTACAGTGGACTAGAAGATTCCAGACAGGCATTGTTTATAACTGCTCTAGGCAATGAAAATGGCAACAATTTAATTTTGTCGGTTTATTGAAGGTAGAAGCTTCTTTAGCAGCAAATTATTGTAATTCCAGTGTGAGAGTTAATCCACTACTTTTATACTTCTCTTTATGCTTTACACACTCTCTCTATTCTATTCAAACATTTTGCTTCTGTCTAGAAATAAATACTTAAAATGAACAAAATTATCTGCCAATAGACCAAAACGGGTTTACTCTTGAAATCAGTAAAAATGGCTAGAAATAGGTATAATAATCATTTGCTTTAGATTGTAATCTTATAATAGGAAACACTAGATTACTGTAATTCAACATATATTCAAGATATTATCACCTGCTAAGATTTTTTGGGGGGGATTAATCTTTTAATCTTTTATATGAAGTATGTTATGAGTTTGAAATGTTGATGAAGATGATGATGACAGGAATTAAACTTATTTTGGGTAACAGTATAAAGGTCTTAAATGTTAGGCAAGACGACCTGACCATTATAGGCAAGACCACCTGAAAGCCACTGACTTAGACTAAACTCTGCTACAGAAGGCCCCACTAAGATAATGCAATGTTCTAAATCTTAATAAGTGTCCTTCTCAACCTCTCCCGTTCCCTCAGTCCAGCAATGCAAATTAAAACCAGGTCAAGTACAGATGAACTAGCTGAGACTGTAGAAAATCTTCCAATGAATACACAAAAACTGATAAAAGCCAACATTTTACCATCAGTTGTAGTTGAATTTTTTGTACTGTCCTCCAAATTACTGTCTGTGGGTGAATCTGCAAAAGGAAACATGGTAATATAAGGTAGCTTATTTAGATGTTAGATGTAGTGTAGCTAGTGAGAGATGAAGTTGTGAGATATCACTCATGCTCAATTCAGTGCAATTTAAAATAGAATAGAATACAATGCTTTTATTCATTGCACAACATCCATCCATCTTCTACCGCTTATTCCTTCTTCAGCGTATCACAGGAAGCACCGGGCACAAGGCAGGGTACACCCTGGACAGAGTGCCAGTCCATCGCAGACAGTATGGACAATTTACTAACCAACATCTTTGGACTGAGGGAGGAAACCCCCGCAGCATGGGGAGAACATGCAAACTCAGCACACACAGCCCGGACGGGAATCGAACCCCAGACCCTTGAGGTGTGAGGCGAACATGCTAACCACTAAGCAACCGTCATTGCACAATAGTCAAATGAAATTTAAGGTGTAGTGCCCGATGGTGATAGAAATATATAAAAAGTATATAAATATAAGTGAAAAATTACAAAATAAATAAATAAATATATAAATAAATAAACTTCCAGTTCAGAATCACAAGCAGCCAGCTGCTCACTTTCATATGACAGCTACCAACTGGGGAGAATGAAGACTAACACATGCTTCCTCTGAGACACATGAAGCCAGCCAACAGCATGATTTTGAACTGTTGCTTATGCCACAGGTCATCACAGGACACTGTAACAGAGTTAGTGGAAAGTCTGTCCTTTTCTGCATACATGCTCATAGATACCCACTATTAGCTAGTGTTACAGTGAGAGACCTGGGACTTTTGATATATATTTTTTAACAAACTCTTGGTTGACACCAAGACCATATTTAGCAAGACCAATGCCCATGACCGAAAGAAGTCCAAGTGCAAATACCAAAAACAATTTGAGACTGCACTCAAGTCCAAAACCGGATTTGACTCCAACAGCCCCAAATTTTGGCGAGTGCTTACGGTGTGTGAAAGATGCACTGAAGCAGCATCCTCGCTTTCCAACAAGGTATTTAGAGAATGTTTTGAGTTCGGCCAAATTGTTAAATGTATCGGGAACTGTAGACACTGTGCTGGTTGAAGAATGTAATGGCAAGTTCTACGATATCCTGACATTACAGTGGACTAGAAGATTCCACTGGTTTTTGTTTTTAACTGCCCCAGCTAATGCAAATGGCAACAATTTAATTTTGTTAGTTTATTTAAGGTAGACGTTTCTGTAGCTGCAATTTATTGCAATGCCAGGGACAGTTAATAACTTGCTTTCATTCTTTTTTTTAGTAGTTTGACATTCAATAATGATACAGGTTTCCATACATAGCAAATTGTCTTCCAAAATGTTTCATACTTAGTTTATATTATTTATTTATTTGTTTGTTTGTTTGTTTGTTTGTTTGTTTTCAGATAGCCTTTAAGAATGTCTTTGACAAAAGAAGAATGTACTGAAATCATTCTCATGGAAGGATCGGAAAGCTGTTGCAATAGACTATCAGGAAGCATGGCAAGCACATCAGACACGAGACTGCTGTCAAACTTATTAAATTAAAAAACACAGTAAGCATTGCAGACCAACTGAGAAGTGGATATCCACAAACATCCACTGACAAACTCACAGCTGACATGGTGCTGGCATACATAGTCCCCTAAGTGTACGTACTGATCAGTGCTTCTCAACTTGTTTGCATTACTCTACGAAAAATGTTGCATCTTAAAAATAGATTGATTATAGTCAGATTTATCTAGTATTTCCTATTATAAGATAACATGTGATATGATGTTACTAAACATATTTTGACACACAATTACTCATTTCACTTTGTTATTCTGTTGGGCAAAAAAATTCTGCGTATTTCTAGAAATGAATGCATAAAATTATCCAACAGGACAAAACTGTTTTATGCATGAAATCAGTGAAAAAAAAAATGTCTAGAAATAAGTTGTGACTGTAGAAAATTGTCTTTAAGAAACATTTTACCATAAACCGTAGTTGAATTTGTTGTATCTTCCTCCACATTACACTCCGCGGGAAGCGCTGCAAAAGAGAAATATGGTAATAAGAAATGGCTTAGTTAGATGTGAGAGATGGTGTTTTGATAGATTACTCATGCTCAGATTAATGCTAATAGGTTATTTTTGAGAGTAATGGAACTATATGCTAAGCACTTGACTTAACATCCCCAAGCCTTGACCACCCTACTCTGTTTTAAATTCCAGATTTATCATTTAAACCAGTAAATCCATATTCAAGAAATGCTTATTTATATTTTCAGAAGTTTGTCTTCTTGACTTCATTTCAGTCTGAGTCACTCAACGTTGTCAAGGAACTAACAGAGGTGGATGGACTGAGAAATTCGTCCATTTATATTGTTGAATTCATACAGTACACTAATGCAGCATGTCAAGATAGCTAATAAAGACTAAAATGCCATGGTACATTCTTCATTGAAACATGGCTTCTTTTAATGTGACTCCCAGAAACATTTCATGAAATTAGGTGCTCTTAATCTTAAAAGGTGACAAAGCCATGTTGTAACTAATATGTAAAGACATTGGTCTGTTACATCTATCCATGCTACGATTCCTTATTACTATAAAGTATTTGGTACATCAATATTTTAAACATGAACACAGGGTGTCTCTATACCTTCAGATACTCTCTGAATGTTTTTTTTTTTTTATATTGAATTTCTAAACCCACACAGATATATTTCCTCATACATACGTACATATATGTATATATATGTATGTATATATATATATATATATATATATATATATATATATATATATATACACTATATATATATATATATATATATATATATATATATATATATATATATATATATATATATATATATATACATATAAACAGTATATGTATGTATGTATGTATGTATAAATAGATTTAGAATTTTTTTTTTTATATAAAATAGTACTTACAAATGACCAGTTTAGATCCATTGCTGTACTTAATGATGAGTCGAGGAATATCCTGTGTGACCCGACAAAAGTACCATCCACGGTCATTTAAAGTAACATTATGAATGGTCAAATATGAAGCATTGTGTCTTTTGTCTTCATGGTAATGACTCACATTGGAGTCATGTGGTGAGTGGAATTGAATCTTATTATCCTCATTAAATTCAGAAGTATTGACAAAAAACCAGTCCACTTTGAGCCCATCTGTTTGAACCATGCAGCGGATTGTTGTGTTTGATCCTATACATGCTTTAACCATCTTTGGGACCTTAGGTTCAATAAGTGTCCCCTGACCTCTGCTGTTAATTATGGCTCCCACTGTGGGGAAAACAAAACACAGAGAATACATCATATTTCAATTAAAAAGTTAAGGTTAAACATCACAGGAATAATTTGAAAACCAATAGAGTTTACTAGTATTTCATTTATCAAAAGTAAATAAATCTTTTAATGAAGTTCCTAACATCAAACTCCAGGCAGTACTATAGACAGGTGCAGTATTATGGGGCTTGGACTCTGACAGAAGTGATCTGAATATGAATTTCATATATCAATTAAATACACATCACATATGTATATAAATGATATAAAATGTGTATGTTTTTTTCCTCTGGTGTATTTAAAACCAATATATTGCCAATATTTTTTCTTTGTTCTAAACATGCCTTGTTATGAGATTTAACTTTAAAACATATATTTCAAAATTGCATGTTATGGTTTTAAGTAAAAAAAAAAAAATCACATACAAACCTAAATCAATTGAATAAATAAATAAATAAATAAATAAATAAATAAATAAATAAATAATGATAATAATAATAATAATAATAATAATAATAATAATAATAATAATAATAATAATAATAATAATAATAATAATAATAATAATAATAATAGATTGTATGAAAGTGAAGCATCTAAAGTTTTAGAAATAGCCAAATTCATGTTACACATCTAACCTTTGCCTGTGGGCAGTGAGTCTTTAATGTCACTGTAGAAAACTAGCTATTTGTGTAGAGTACAGGTTTTTTATTTATTTATTTGTTTGTCAAATTAACTATTCAAATATTAAGCACATATTTATTAAATGTACAAGAACATTGAATATTGGCTATGGCTTTTTATTGAAACTTTCCACTCACAGGACACAAAATATTAAAATGTATATTATTTATAGATCTGCTTGTTTTGTTTTATTGTTCTGTTTGTTTATTGATGCTTGGATTAAACATATTCAAGTCAGGGGACCATTTAAACAGTCAATCAACAATACGAAAGTGACAATAAATATAATAACATTGAAAATGGTGCGTTATGATTTCCAATCGCGGACCCCACTGACTGTGAGAACTGAGGCTGTAGGGCAATGTGATACATGTGAAAAGCTTGGTTTATTCAAATAATTAGGGAGTACTAATAAATAACCAATAAACTCAACACATACCCCCCCTTCCAACACCCCACCACCCCACCACCCCAACAGTATTAAACACCGTGATTGAGTTAAACATTTAACCTTTTGTATTTAGTTGCACGTTAGAATAAGTTACAAATTATCCAAGCCACAAGAACAACCATCAAAACAAGTTCAATTTATCTTGTATAGGTATGAATGTAAAATGTCTGACCTGTGAGAAATATCAGAAAATTCCTGTTGAATAAGTAGTCCATTGTTCTTGTTAAAAGTAATGTGAGGAAGATGCCAGAACCTTTGGGCAGAACCAGCGTAAAGTACAAAGATGTCGTCTTGTGGGTCACAGGAAATGCACACCTACAACACTGAAAATTAAGTTGTGTTACACCACTAGTTTGTGATGTCAAAGGGGTCTAAGGCTGCGCGTTGAGTTATCTAGGCAGGTTCATGTGAAATCATGTTGAAAAGCTAAAGCAGCAAAAGAAGTGAAGAGGAAGTCTATGCACAGAGAAACCACTCAAACCACCAGCGCAACTATGAATCAAGCATGAAAATAGGAAAGAATATAGAAAACAGGATATAGAAAAAGTTACATTTATTGGTGCATTTAAGAAATGACGTAAACAAATAAATGAGCAGATTTCACACAAAATAAAGGAATAAAAGACTAACTATAGAATCCGTTTGAGTCAGCACTTAGTGAGAAAAGCACAGTGAGAAAACAGGTCAACCACATAAAGGCCAAGTAAGAAATAAAAACTATGAAACTCCTGCATGATGCGGAACGTGAAACTATTATCAAGTCTAGGTTTCATTTCATTTTATAAAATGTCAAAACTCAGACTCCAGCAGTCCAAACATATGTGTGTGATAGCCTGGGAAAAAAAACCTTTCGTATGGTCAAATTTGTTCAAAAGGTTATATAGTTCTGAAAACTACAAGTTTGAAGGGAAATGCTTCTGCTTTGTACATACAGTCACTGGAAAAGGAAAGTAACTAACTTTTTATAAACAAACAAATAACAT